TCCTGACACGGCAATAGAGCAGAGAACACTGTTTTGGACCAACCACCACGTTTTCTTTCACGGCACGTCTAGCTATACGCAGTACCTTCCCATCTGATGCTAAAAAAGAACCAATCAACCACATAGAATTGCATCCAGTTAGAACCACGACATACAATGAAATATTGATACCAAAGCAAAACAATATAGCCACCACGTAAGTATATGCTAGTGAGGGATTTCCTCCCCGACAGCACACGTGCCAAGCCCAGCCCGGAGCAGCAGCACTACTGCATTCTGCCTTGTCTTCCTTAGGAAATAATTCACTGCTGCATTATTTTGCATTACAGTCCTGGTGTTAGGCTGAGTTTGTAACTAATCAAAACTCTGTGGCAACAGGAGACCTTGGGTTTCAACACGAGTTGGCAAACTCAGTAATACTGCTTGAATTTGTGCTCCAGATCTGCTAGATCCAGAAGCAAGGCTTTGTCAGGAGCCACAAAGGCTATGGAGAACTAACCTTTGAAAATGCTGTTTTTCAAGCTTTGGATTATCTCCATGGATTTCCTAGTGGGTCCTAACAAACCAGCGCTGAATTCTGCTGTTTAAAAGGGAAGCCTTAAACTGGAGTGTTTTCCTGACCTCATGACTTTTATGTCCATAGGGACAGCTCAAGTGAAAAAAAAAATAAAATGATGCGTATGTGGTAAAACCAGCTATTCAGAGAGAACATCAGTAATTGTGTAGGGATTTTGGCTTTGTGTAAGAAAAATTTAAAAATTATCCAGAAATGGTTGAAAATTTTATGTGAAACTGTCCTATACTGCTACAAGAACGAATATGCAAAAATATCCACAGAGGGGATGTTTCATTTTGGACCAAGTGAGGTATCTGAGCCCTCAGTGAGCCACTCACCCGTGAAGTCACACGAGCGTGGTTGAGTTCTCCTTCACCAGCCAGCCCTCCACGTCCCCGCCGCGGCACTAACGGGGCGTCCCTGGCAGCCATCGGGTATCAAACACGAGGGCTGCCACCGCTGTCCAAGACTGAGCTCAAAGAGAAGGAATTAATTTAATATCTATGGTCTCATGGGAAGCTTTTAAGTGGTAACACCGTGGTTTAATAAGTTCACTGAAGTACATGACTTCAGAAATATATGTGCTGTGTATCTCGTAAGATGACAGAACAACAGTAACCTCCTTATCTCTAGCAGACATTTGAGAGTGTGCGTCCACGGCAATCCATTCCACACGTGTTTCTAGTCAGCAGCTTTCCCAGTTCTTGCAATCCAGCAGGCACGCTGCCCGGAGAGCTGCTCTACTGCTGCCTAAGGGTGCAGCTGAGGGGAAAAAAAGAACATAGCAAATGTGCTCACAAGTCTTGGATCATACAAATCACTCCGAGTATAAAAATTGTATTCCTATTCCATACTTCTTTCAAATTGGTTGAGCAACAGCATCAACACAGGCTCAGTTCTTCCAAATTCATGTGTTTTTTCACTATATATCCAGATTTCTGCAATTAGCTGAGCCTGACTGGGCGGAAGCTTTTAAAGTAAGAGAAGCTCACAGACCAAGGTCTACGTATGCTACCGTGACAAAATAGCTTACGTCCTACAGCCTCACCTTTCTGGCTCAGGTACCTGGAGCTGTCTGAAGTTACAGCCGTGCTCTCCTGCGGGTTTATGAACCAAAGTATCTCTTGTTGAATGACACCGCAATTAGCAAAAAAGGGCAATAAGCCTAGAGCCAAAGAAAAGGGGCCCTCTCCCCCAAGAGATAGCTTTGATCCTCTGGATTGTTTCAAGAGCTTTTTTGCAGCCAGGTGGCTGCTGGTAGAAGAAAAATAGAGTTCATTACTATTGATGCTCTTATAAACAAGAGCCATTCAACTACCTGGCTTATTTTTCCTGTTCTCTACAAACATATGCGCAGGGAACATTAGTTTTTAATGACAATTTTGAGGATGCAGAGTAAAAAAAAGATGCAACAATAAAAATGAGATTTTAAAAAGACTGAGCACGTGAGGCAAGTCATACAATTATTTTGCTATTATGTTTCATTTCTCATTAATAAATCAATGAAATCACCGAACTGAATGAAAGTGCTTGAGTAGAAGATTTGGAATAGACCCCTCCTTACACAATCCCCTACCTGATAAAACCCTGTACTTGTGTCCCTGCCACCCCACTCATCTGGTGTTAGTTAAGTAACAGCACGACTCTCACAATCAGCTCTTACTGTAGAGCAGCTTAAACGTGAACACTCATGGCACTGAAAAGGAAAACTTTTTTGGTATTTGCCACTTCAACATTTCTACCAGAGTTCGAGTAAAAGCTATCACCGAGGCTTAGCTTCAGGAATCTTTAAGTGGAAAGAGAAAGATCCCAATCACCCCACTGAAGACCTCAAGATAATTAAGTATTTCTCTGTATCAATTCAACCAAGGCAATGTCTTCCTATTTCACTGAGCTCAGACAGGCAGCGAGGGCTTTCATCTTTCATAGGACAGAAAAACCACCTCTCTCCAGCCGTGAAATGGCCATTTCTCTCAATATCTTGCTCTGCATATTTATCCCTATTAAACTTTTAAGCCTCGTTTCAAATTTATTTTTGTAACTTAAAATCCTGTCACCACTACTGGCCTTAGCAGTGATGCCACCAGCTATTTAGGAGACTGATGGTGGAGAACTGCACCAGGATAATAGCTCATGTAAGATTAGTACTAAGATATTTTAGGAGAGAAAAAGGACTAATTTTTCTCCTCACCTTTACTAGGTATTCAGCAGAAAGACATTTAGCTCAGTTCTTCATATCTTAGGGAACGGAAGTAATAAGCATTTCACCTGTAACAGTTCTTTAGCCTTCCGACTACTAAAAATAACTTCTAGACTTGCATTATTATAAGCATATTCTCCATGTATACTAGCATGCTTGCAAATGTAACTACACAAAGATAGCACTGCTTTTCTGATGCTCAGCATCACCACTTTAAGTTTTTATGGAATTTATTGCAAAAAATAGGTTATGATATATTTGGGAATGAATTAATAAGATCTAGAAATTAACAGCTCCTCTGAATTAAGAAAAATAGTACTTCCCACAGATCAGTAATCTTTGCTAAGGAAGCAGATGTGACCTTATATACAATAGCTCTTCTCATGTCCTTGTTTCTTTACCCTAGAAAGGAATTGATTTTGTAACACTGAAAGTTGTTTTGTTTTTTATTATCAGAAGTTCAGTTACACTGTATTCAAGAACTTTTATTTCATAGTAGCAAATTAATAAATACACAGTATAGCTCTTCTGATGTGAGGGAAATAGAACTGAAACAGTTCTAGTTTCTGCTGAGAATATGTATGAGAAAATTTTATTTAGAAAAACAGCATGAAATCATACCTCCTCTCAAATTTTGGCATAAAACATTAGTATTAGTAAAGTTAAGGCAAAATTCCCACTATTTTCTGTGAGATTTTTGCCTCAGGTTGAAGCCATTTGAAAAGCCACTGTAAAAGCCCTTTACAGGACAGAGCTTAAAAGAACATGAACTCAAAAACTAGCATCCCAAGCTTAATTTGAATAGCTGCCTGATAGCTCCCACCCTTTCTAAAACATAGAAAGGTAAGTACAGCAAAGTCACCTGAAGAAAAGATAGCATCAAGAGTCTTTGAGATAGTTAATATATATGTGAACCATTTCACTGAATTTATTTTTCTAATATTTATCCAATGAAGTTCTCCACAGGTATACTCTACTGCCCAGTAAGACAATAATCCTCTTTTATCAAAGGAGCTAATTCATGTTCTGCAAAATTGTATTTTGCAAACAGACAAGACATTGCAGCTTCTCAAGCCTGTTTAATCCTCTTAAGGAAGAAGAAAATGTCACTAAAAGACTTTGAAGTAATACAGCTTTCTTGGACAGTAGATCAGAGGTCAAGAACTTGGGACTCTGGAAATACAGCACAAATTCCATGACAAAGCGATAAACAAATCCTGCCTCAACAGCCATACACTTCAACCTTGGAATGTGTGCAGGCTAGAGCCAACAGCGATGATGATGACGGTAGGTGAGCAAGATAACCTCTGAATTGCTGGCTTAGTGAGTGAACTTAGGGCAGACAGCACTCACTTCTCCAGTGGAAAGTCTTCCTCCCTTCCACCTCCGCAATTCAAAGTTATGGGCTTGCAGCAATCATTAACAAGGACAGATACAGGCACTTGGTAAAGGATCTGGTTCTAAACCCATTAAAGCCAGTAACAAGACTTTGGTGATAACTGGATTAGACCCTGAGTAGGGAATATCGGTATACAGACCTAGAAGTTTTAAATCCACAATTGCTAGTTAACACTGGGAAAATGAATTATTAAAATCCCTAGCTACGTGAAAGGAAGCTAAACCTCTCAGATCATCGTCTTGTGCAGCCATTATCCAGACAAAAGTTGCATCACATTTGACAGAGTCAAGCCTGAAGGATTCCCATTGTTGCAGGAACTGGCACAGCTACTGCAGTGGCGTATTAACAAACAGCCCCGATAACCGACTGCGATGAGATTAAAATCTAGTTAAAATTTAGTTAGTCTCTGCAGTGAGGCAGCTGGCAGTTTTGGTATTTCAGGTGCCATGGATTTTCTTCACTATTCTCCCTCCAGTAACTTCAACTGACCCAACTGTTTTTATGATACCCGAAGTGACTGATTAGTTTATGGAAACCTTCCGGTTGAAATATTTTTATAATTGATCATAATTGCAAATAATTGATCATAATTGCTCTTTGCACAGGCATTTCAAAATTCCACAGAGACAAGTCTAAATTGCATCCAAGTACAGGGAAACAATGATGATATCCAAGCACTGCCCTATTACCATTTTTTTTTTCCAGAATGTATTTAATGACCTAAGAAAGTTACAAAAGCAACTTTAAATTACATTTACGTATATAAACTAATTAAATAGATTTAGCTGACACTGAGAAAATAAAATGCCAAGCAACACAAAGACAAAAAACATTGAGATGACTGATTCTGGAGTAATTTAAGACTTTTTACTGAGTTTCTGGATGTAGCAATCAAGTAAGTGAACACTTCCCTACTGAAGTATTACTTCTAGTTAGAAACCACTGAAAGCTTACCTCATTATTCTCATTTTAGATCAGCAAATGATTGATTAGTCCAGCATTAATTTCTGCAGTTCTTATTAAGTTTTGTATTCTGGGAGAATAATTGTTACTTATTCCACTTTTTTTTGCCACTTACTTATTCCAGTAAGTGGCAAAATTCCTGGAAACTGCAAGGGTGTCACGATTTTTAATACTAAGAGCACAGATTTGTCAGTCACTGAAAGACAAAATGATTCAGAAGTGTGGCTTGTAAGATAGTGTTAAAAATAGGATATGCAGATAGCTAGGTACAAGTAGGTTTAAACTCATTCAAGATGAAGGAAACTCACAGCTTAATTCATGCGGCACATAAAGGTATCTGTTTGAATGTTGTCAATGTTCTAAGTCACATGTGGTGAACACATTCACAAAGACTAAAATAAATAACAGCTACTTTATTATCTAAGAATACTTTCAAGTGTGGCATTTCCTGACAAAGCTTAGAGAGAATCATCAAGTAAAAGAATGCAAAGGTCATAAGAACTTGTGAAACCTTGATGACTGCTAGTTTCCACTTAGTTTTCTCATGATAGGGCTGTCAGGCTCAGCGTTAGTGAAAATACTTCCTACAACCACGTGAGTACCCCACATGTTATGACGAATAACTTTGCAGCAGCCAAGATCATCAACGGAAAATCCCAAGTGGCGGTAGCGTTCATCTGTTTCAAACAGAGTGTTGTTTGTGTAAGGTCCAAAAAACTAGGTGAAAAAAAAGAGAATTTTTCACGTGAACATTTCCAAGAGCATTTAAAATGTCAGAACTATCCCTTTTTAAAATAAAACCTAAGCCCAGAAGTACCAGTTATATCTGCTGGAGGAAATTTTATGTACAGTTGCATTCATGAAATCTATACAGGAAACAAAGCAGAGCACCCCTGATTATACTGGTGCCCCATATTTAAAGATGTTCCTTTGCCACTGACAGAGCACTGAGGGCCTATCAGCGTATTTGAATGTCTAATCAACCATACATACAAAAAACCCCAAGTGCTTTGGAAAGGTTCTGCTACTTCTACAGGCATTAAGGATAGAACCCTTCTGTGAAATAGCAAAATACAACATGTACATTTTCAGTGAGCCCCTTACAAAGAAAGACGCTTTGAAAAGCAAAAACGTGTGTAGATTGGAAACAGGTATTTCAGTCGCTTCATCTCAGGAGGAAGTTTGTGACCAAAAGCCTACTCCTGATGGAGTAAAAGGTAAGGATGTTACCACTGAATTGGAGCCCAGAGACAGAACCCTACTTTCATCAATCTGTAACTATTCCTTAGATGCATGGAATTTCTGGGAAGCTTTTAAGCACTATACACACCTTCAACTGCCCGTTCACCTTATAAACGCTCCCTGTTAAACTTATTTGCCTCTGTTGACACAATAAATCATTGCCTTTCATAGAGTTTTTTAACTAAAAACCCACTAAACCAAGTTTTCCCATGATTATGTTCAACTATGATATGGTTTTAAGTTAGCTTCTATCAAAGCATGAGCATATATGTATTTTTGTCAGAACTTTCTCAGTTCTCTCTTGTAAGTTTTAAGACTCTTTGTTTCACAGATGTCTTGGTAAGAAACTGTCAGCTCCTCCAGAGAACTGATGTAATCTGATAATGAATGCCAACACTGTTTAAATAGAAACAAGCTATTCTTTTTTATTACATAACAATGATATTATTAACTAGGGCAAAGATACTTTTTAAAAACACCCGCCTACACAGGTCAGGACTCCCAAGTTCCCTTTGGAGGGCATAACCAGCCTACCGTGCAGTGACCAAGAGCTCTTGGGCATAAAACTTCTACCGTTATCTAAAATTCAACTTTGTTGTTGAACAACGCTCTCCAAAGTGCAATAGCAGCTGATGCAGCATGGGAACTGGCTCAGCGTTACTACCTTAATGTAGGAAAGGAATTATTCTATTGTAGCAGCTTTTGGGCAATATAAAAAAAGATAGATTTAACCCATAAAGAATACAAATATCACCACTACTTAGGATACAGCGGTGTCCACTGCATATTCCACATAGCACGTAACTTACTGCCTGTCCTGAGGATGGATCAATGAAGTCAGCCCAGTATCCTTCAGAACAAATCGCGTAACAAATTTCCTTGGCACCATTAATGAACTTAAAGAAATGGAAAGAAGGATAACAAATGAGATTTTTGTTACATATATATACACATAACATGTTCTGAAAATGAACAAGCACAGGCTTCTTTTGGCCTCTACTAATAAATGAGAAATTCAGCATACTTTCAATAAAAATATTAATAATATTAACAGAATTACAATTAATAGCATACATTAGGCTACTCCAATCATGAGATTTAAGTGTTCCTTGTGCCAGTCAGTAATGGATTAACAGCTTGTACAAGGAATAATGTAATTGCTTTGGTTATTCATGCAGATTGCAATCGTACCTGTTATCATCTTTAAGAAGCCAGCCATTATTTGAGGTATTTCTGTGTTATTCCCACAAGTAACTCCACAAATTAGACACTAACCGTAGCATTAAATATATTTTTATAAATATATGAAAACCAGGGTTTTGCTGTAAGGTCTTATCTCAGCCAACAGGACAGTATTATGTAGTTCTTCCTGCATTACAAATGTTTAACTGCAAATGATTTTAAAGGATGTTTTAGTTTTGCAACAGGACAGCAAAGAGTTCCTTAAGTACTTGGCTTCTACACCAGTCTACACCAATTCTCATATTGTAATGAACTGGTGGTCAGGATGAATGACGACTTCAAAGTCTCCCACTATTTGACAATTAAAGCTGTAGGTCATGTTTCAGTTACACTGGAGGACACCAAATGATGTTCCTGAAAACAGTATTTTCAATTAAGCAAGATGCCAAGAAGTTCCCTGTTCTGTAACTCATCATAAAAACCCTCCCTTCTCTGAAGGGACAGCTTAAAGAATCTATTTCTTTAGTGGTAAACTTTTCACATCAGCTAATTTGAGAAATTAAGCTTTTGTTTTGTTTTTTGGTGTTGAGTTGCAGTTATATGTTGGTCAGATACAGAAGAAAATTCAACCAGATGGATTTAAAGCCGTGCTCCTGTATTCCAACATCACAACCCAGGGCACAAAACAATTACATGACCTACAGATTACACAGCACATTTTTTCCACAGATAAATCAGCAAGAACAGGAGACCTCAGTTAATGTGCTTTTAATCACCCAGACCAGCAGTTTTCAACCTGCGTTACGAGGGCCAGAAGGGGCCCATAGAAAACTTCTGAAGAAACCTGCAAAGGTAAGCGAGAAAAAAACCCAACAAAACACAACACAGAAGTCGAGATATGTGACAGTTCTAAAACCACCCACATACTCTGAGAAAAACATGTCCAAGTGCAAAAATCTAAACAGCTGAACATGCTGAGCTAGAGTAACACACAAATAGAATTCACATTGCTTCCTTGAAATGTGAAATTCCCTAATCTCACAAAAAATAAATATTTCTAAATTTAAATATATTTATTCAGTAGTAAAAATTGGACTGTTCTCTTAGTGCTAGCGCCCTTACCAGCTCAAGATTTTAAATTTATAGAAATATTATTATTCAGCTTCAGACCCTTAATGGTCCAAAATAAAAGAGGTTTATCCTTTACAGTAATCTGTTCTGTATTTTGAGATTTGATGGCTCTGATGATTAACTATGTTTCAAGTGTAAATTAAGTCACAAACATAAGCAAGCCATCTGAAGACAGCATTTTAGGCATTACACTTCTGAAATAGTACATCTTTTGATCCAGTGTTGTGACAACCCCTCAGCAATCACTTAAGAGTGTGGTTAATAAACACTTGAGATTCACTACTGTAAACACCGAGACTTGGCTGTACATATCCCTCATTACTTTCGCACAAGCCTCTCACATTAAATTAGTATTTTTAAGGTTACTTCTAACCATCTATGAAGCAAACAAACAGACCATTTTCTTGTGAATTTGCTGTTAGTAACCTTTAGGCCAGGAGGTTACATCCAACATCATAACACCCCTACAGTGACTATATTAGACTTGACAGGGAGGTGCACAAGGAAGAAAGATGCCAATTAACATATAATTAGACCAGATTACAATGCCAAAGATCAACAGACCATAAATAATTCAAAGAGAAGAACACACTAAAATTAAGGGACTTTTAATTTGTGTGTAATCTTTATGTTGATTCTTCAGACTGCTTCTTCCTTTTTTTGTGGTAACCCCTACACTGTTTTACAAAGGCCACATTTCCAATTTACAGGATTGGAAAGGACATAACCAGACTATTTTCAAACATAAATATGACCCTCACTATACAGACGAAAATCCCACAGGATGATTTTTTACTAGCTTTAGAAAAATTATAACAAGTAATATATTGAAACGTTGTATTTTGAGGTACAAAGAAAAGAATGCCAGCAGTGGTGAACAACGACACCTGCTGGAGTACACACACGAAAAAAATCTGAAGAATGTGAAATAAAATGATTTTCAGAGAGACCTCTAGTGGCAACAGATCAAGAAGATAAAGTTCATGAGGATGGTTAAGATGTAATAAATATAATTGATACCCAGGCTAAAAGCATTAACCATAGCCATTATCAGAATGGGAAAAAAGAAAAAAAAAAGAGCAAGCACTTTTTACAAGCAAGGACATGGACAGACTCCCTGCTGGAATCTCAGGCCACAGAAAAACATAAAGAGCAGTTAAATCCTACCAAATGCATTGTACTAAAGCAGAAATAGGATGAGAAAAGAGTTGCTGCCCTTTAAGTGCAACAGGAAAACAATCAAATGTCTTTAGTAATTTCCTATAGCATTTTACAACATTTTAGGGTATTTTTGACTCACCCCACTATAAAGAATTTAATAGTGCTATGAATTACGTAGAATAGTCAAAAAGCTACAAAGCTGGAAAAAAGTTATCTCCATTTTATCCGTAAAAGAACATGGGATTAGCTCAAAAATGCTCAAAAAGTAATACTGTATATTACTACCAGGATTAGAAATAGACCCCAATACACAGTTCACAAAAGATTAATCTACAGACAAAAATAAGCTGATGCTACTGTGAGCTACTTACATTTTCTAACAGCATTTCTCTCTCATCCTCCACTTCCTGACTCCACACAGTCATATCATTTTTAGTCTTCTGGGTGACAGTTAATACTGTTAAACGGTTAGCATTCACTTCTGGAAACATTGACTCAAAGTCTGAAAAAAAATCAAACCAGCATGTTACAGCTTGCTCCGTACATTTTACTTTTATGTCTTTTTTAGACAAATTATTGACCCTATCCAATTATTTCCTTCTTGAACAAATTAAAGATACACACAAAACCAATGCTTTCAGAAGTTTCATAATTTCAATTTGCTATTTCACTAAGAAGCAGTGCCAAAAGACCTGATTATGTCACAAACTTACTTCTGGATAGTGAATCAGCTGCAGAATCTACCTGACACTAAAGCAGCTGAAAGTTACTCCCTGCTCCAGCTGATCTTGAATTTAAATGGTATCAAATTTTATATGAAATACTAAGAGTCAACAGCAAAGTTTAAGTTTTCTTTTTATAGTATGTGTTTTTTCTTTTGTAAAGCATTTTTCTAATGTAAAACATTAACTCTAGATTATCTTCTTCTACTACATATTCTGTGGCATCAATTACATCAGAGTGTTTACTCACATATTTTACATTTTAAAAAGTTATAACTTCATAGCTGTCACTAAGAGTGAAAACATACCTTTTCGTAACAGCTCAGGACAAGCTTGTACTGCACATTCTACCTTTGCATTTTCAAAGTAAGTTTCAGCATTATTTATTTGCTGTTTCTGTGGAACATCAGCACCCTGAGAAAAAAATGAAAATTGTAACTTTCTCATTAATATACAACAGGAATAACTTTGTCCACCAGACTATGTTTTTCTGGCTAAATGTCCACTGATACACTCAAGTAGTTTCACAGAAAGATGGTCTCCAATACGACTTAAAATTTTTCAAACATTAAAAGCAGAACAGAAACAGGTTTTAGCTAATCCTTAAAGTTATACAGAAATTTTAAGTTTTATATTTTATTGTAACCATATTATCTCAAAGCCTTAACCAATACAGAAATTTTGGAAAATTATCTTTCTGATACAATGGCCTTATGTATTCAATACAACAGCAACTGATAGATTTCAGACATATACACATCACCTGAGATAGAGTAAAACTTTATTTTAAAGTTACGTGATAGCTCTAGAGCTCTGAACTATCACTATTTTTAGCTTTAGCTGTTGTAGCTTGAAAAGCAGAAGTTTTCCAATAATAGCATTTTTATTCTTTACAGGTTTTTAGTTATGCCATTTCTAAAACAAACAAACAAAAAAAACCCACAAACCAAGAAACCCCCAGATTCTTGGGGGTATGTTACAAATGTATAGTAGATATATAGTATCTAAGCTTAAAATGCCCTTAAGGTAGTAACAAGAGCTGTCTCCTTTAGGATAGCAATTGTCATGCAATAGGAGTAGAATGGCTTAATACAGTTTTTATAGCTCTAACTACGACATAGTTTACAAGGAATTTCCGTAGATTTCTCTAAGACTGATATTATAATATTGAGCAATACAAACAGGTGTTAGGGAGGGCTTAATGTATGTCAAAGTTCTCCCTGGAGAAAACTGCTACACTGAAAACACAGCATGGCTAGCATTTTTGTTCTAGAAGTTAACAATCAAGAACAGGAAAAATACAAAAACCAAACCCAAACCATCAGAAAATAAATGCAACAATAGACAAACAAGCAACAGGAACTGCAGTTTCAATACATGTTCCCACATGTACCTCGCATTATGATTGCAAAGTCACTGGACAGATCAGCTGGTGCTTTAAACCCAACAAGCCACAGCATTATGCTGGCAAAGCCCTTCTTTTCTTCCTAACTACAGGATGTTTCTCTTACTAAAAATGGTAGCTCACTGTCACTCTTGTCTACTACTGCCATTCTAGCTGGCTAAACACCACTTACATAGACCATACGCTTACCAGACATGCTATCATCAAGAGACTATGGCCCTTTTCCAAAGATCAATACCACTTTCCAAAATTGACGGGTTGGCAAGACCATTTACTCTCCTCAGATAAAACCAATACATGAATCTCGGGTACACAGAGCTCAGAGGAGTTTGCCATTTCTTTAACTGGTTCAAGGACTGCTTCATGAGCTTCAGCAGCACTGAGCTTGCTGCAGCAACCTGTGGGAGGTTCCTGTATTCAGCTGATCCCACCATTCAAATCTGGGTCCTCTCCTAAAATGAGCAGTTTAGCATTCTTGTTAACTAAATGCCGTTCATGGATTCCTAAATACCATCAGTATGAAGCAGCGCTGACTCTTGTTGACTGCTTTCTGAATACCAGTTGCAAAACCTGCCTCTGCTCTTTCCAGTTTCTTCTTTCCATTTAGGACAGCAGCAGCTGCACCGGGCACTTTATTATACAAGAAATCTTGCTAGAAAGCAGGCATGCATTCAGTGCACCTGGTTTGTACTAAATGAACTAGACTAGAATTTGCTGTTGCGCTTTTTTACAGAAAGTATGATCCACACAAGCTGAAAACAGAATCTGGGGAGCTCACCAGAAGCTTATGTCTCCTGAACACTTTGGAATACGATGCTACATTTACAAAAATCACTATACAGCATTTTTACAATGGAGATTTGCTACTGGACATCCAAAGTCTGAGCGTGTCACAAACTCAGAGCCTGGAAAGTTGAGTCAGCAGCCAGTAGCACTAAGTATTTGTTGAAATGTTGTGATTATCCTAGTAATTATCAAGCTGCTTGTTGTTAATAATGCATCTGACTCTCTGCAAGCTCTGCCATCGCCAAAATGCAGCCTCATTGAGAGGCTTGAGGAGGTTCAGGCACGTTCATCAGCTTTTCCTGTGTGAATTCAATGGTTGTCAGAACTAAGCAGGCATATCTAAACACTGTCCAAACTATGTAAGTCCAGATCCATCAAATGAAATACTGAAGAAGCTACCAATTCAATTTGATAACAGGTAGTAAGACTTCGTAAACAGCAAGTTTTGAAACAGAAGTTTTCTTTTCCCATCTCCATATAATTAAGTCACTACTAAAACGCTATTTCACTAAGCACTGCTTAGTCCAAAAAAACCCACACCCTGAATTATTTCTTCCTTCTAAAATAAAAAATTTTGTTTAGGATCTATGTAATCTCTTGCTCACCGCAGCTAAAGTTCATCTTTCAAAACCATCTAGAAAATCAACAATATCTTTTTTCAGGAGGGAGAGAGATTAGTTATGTTTCTCTTAGACAAGAAGTATCTGTTTCACATAGAAGCAGCCTGTCCTTACCTGAAATTCATTTATGTATTGTGCCATTACAAATTCATGCCTTTCACTTGATGAAGGCTCTGCTAATATATCAGGCAGACTTTTTGAAACTTGGCTTTTCTTCTGAGAAGCAGTGCCATTTAGGTGACAGTCAAAACCAATATTACCAGGCAACTGGAATCTCTGGTCCTGAGGACCAAATGGACCCATTACTTCATCTGGCCATACAGTTCTTGGACCTGCAAAAGTCAAGACCTTGCTTTAGTCATCACATCTAAAAAAGAAAGAAGAAGAAAAAACCCTCTCCCCTAAAAATATCTGTATTTGATCACAATCACATATAACCAAAGTAAACACAATGTACAAGTAAAAGTAAGGGCACTGACATAAAAAGCACACTTCAAAATTCCCAAATCTATATAAGGTGCAAATTCTGATAGCACACGAATTCAAAGAAACTTAATTTGCTTTTTCTTACATAAATCAGGAGGTGTAGCAGCAACATGAGGCTCATCTGAGCCAGAGGAACCTGCTGTAGAAAAAGCCTTGGGATTTACAACTCTTTTGACTAAGGAATAAAACCCTGGTAGGTAGGTGACCAATCTTGCTCTGTTACAGAGCACCTGAGAAGACAAAAACAAGATAAGTATTACATACTGCTAGCAAAAATTCTAGTTTAAGTATAGCCTTGTAGGACACAAGAGAAATCCTCGCTCGATAATTAAATTATACTTTTAATTATGATCAACTGTGTTTCTATAAAATCAAGTTTTAAAAAGTATTTTGACTTTTACTAGTAATAGTATTTTAAGGAAAAACCTCAGAAGCACTTACTGAAAAGCCTCCTTGTGCGATGGAAAAACCCTAAAAAGTTTAAATAGCACCACTGAAACTCCACAACCTAACCTATATTATGGATGAGGATTGTTTCCATGATTCTTTCCAGGCATGTCACTCTTCCCATGACTGTCATACTTCAATCACAGGACTGATTATCAGAAATATTATCAGAAATACCTAGAAATATTGTCAATTAAGTAAATGCTGATGCCCAAGACTTTTGCCTTGAAGGCTAGCACAAACGTTAGCCAGCCTACAATTCCTACTTCGTAAAAGCCTGAAGGGAGACACAAGATAGTATCACTCCAGATGTCTTGTAGCCTTCATATAGAAGCACACATACACGTGTGCTTACACACGTTTCTTCCCCAGCAAAGGACACATCCCAACTGCTCTGAACTATGCAGGGAGATATGCACATCAAAGCAGGCAGATATGGTAATTTCAGCTTCCTCCTTCAAAATGCATAAACATTTAACATATGCAAAACTTAAAGTTAGTGAAGCCAGTGTTATTTAGATTTGAAAAGTCAGTACACTCACATATTTACGAACAAGTGTTACTGCAAACAGATTGGTACGGTGGTCAAAAATGCCAATAAGCCACAAAGTCCTTTCTGTATTATGTGGTCTTGGAATACACCAGAAAATCTGCTTCACACCACAAAGTTGTACCATCAATGTAACTTTCAATCGCTGAAGGTGATTCTATCAGAAACTGATTCAGCCACACAGTAAACAATGATGCAATGCTGTCTCCCTGAGCCTGCAAATGATGTCAGCAACAGGGCTCCACAGAGCTAATGGCTCCTCACCGTGAGGATTACTGACTCTGAGGCCCAATGACAGTATCTTAAGTAGTAAGATGAGCAACTGTTCCCAGGGTTTTGTTGTGTTTATTTAATTAAAAATAAATAAATAAATAAATAAAAAAAAAAACGCAAAAAATATCCAGGTGAAATGATTAAACTGAGAAGTGTCATCTATTTTTTTTATATTTTAAAAATAGACTGACAAATTTCACAATGCGTTTACACACACATAACAGAAAAATAACCAGTCATACACTCAAAATGTAGAACTTTAATTTACAAAACCCTAAACACTACTTAACTCTAACACAAAACTACTAATACTCGACTAGAGCTGCACAAAAGCGTGCATTACTGGAAAATATAGATCCACCTGCCACAGTATGCGTGCTCTTGTAAAACTTTATCTTGTAAAACTTTATTTTCCAGGTGAGAAGAATTTCTTTTGAGAAACTGACATAAAGGGATTTTCCTTAAGTGCTGTACTCTAGATTTCATAACAGCTTATGTATGTGTTCACCTTTGTCACACGTTTGCAACAAAGTTACAAGAAATGCTACTATTTGTATGTGTAAGATAAAAAGTCTATTCAGCGTATCAGGACCTAAACCAGTAACAATCAGTTTCTTACAGACCACCCCTGCATAAACTAATATGTTCTACCAACACTGTGAAGATTCAAATGCATAAATGCATATTTGATTTTCTGACTTACACCAAATATTTACAGTTAAGGCCTTAAACTGCCTAGTTCTAAAGCACGGCTAGGTTTAAAAGGCTCCTGTAACAACAACAAAAGTGTACTGATTCCACTTGAATGTTTTTTCCCCTATTATGTAAAAGCACTATTGAAATTAATTTTTGCATAATGATTATGTTACAGATAAACCAGATGTAAACAATTACAGCCGACACATAATTACAAGAAAACAGCATTTTTCCTTATAATCAGGATCACTTAACAGGCTGATGTTAGCGTTAATTACAGATATGTTGACTGAGCTCACTTATGCAAATATTTACATACCTAGCATCACACAAGTGAAAAAACACCTCTGAAATCAATAAATTATTCATGTCTCATTAAAAAAAAAAAAAAAAAAAACCAAACAAAACAGATCCAACGTAATCCTCAATTCGATTATTCCCACAATACCCACGAAAACTGGCTTCCAAAACTTAGATGGAAGGACGGCGATACCACTGCCTTCTAATAAAAACGTACCTTGGTGGTATAACTGATATTTTTATCAGTGCATCCCCCATAAGCACCATGATGTAGAGGCTGCTTTAAAGGGGAAGTAAAACGCAAGAGGCTCCCGTAACACGGGGTTAGTGCTCTCCTTCGACGATGCCGCTTCGCCTTCTCACCGGGTTGGGAAGCAGGGGCGGCCTCGCAGCCACCCCCCTCCCGCAAAACCGGCGGCGAGGGGGCCGCTACGGCCCCGGCGCCCGGGGCGAGCGGCGATCAGCCATACTCACATTGGCCATCGCAGACGGTGGGCTCCCTCTCGCCGACAAACCCGGCTCTCCCTGCAAGAGAAGCGAAAGCACCGGCTTCCGAGGCACCGCCCGAGCCCTCAAACCGGCCGGCGGGGCCGATCACCCCTCACGGCCCCGATCACCCCTCACGGCCCCGATCACCCCTCACGGCCCCGATCACCCCTCACGGCCCCGATCACCCCTCACGGCCCCGATCACCCCTCACGGCCCCGATCACCCCTCACGGCCCCGATCACCCCTCACGGCCCCGATCACCCCTCACGGCCCCGATCACCCCTCACGGCCCCGATCACCCCTCACGGCCCCGATCACCCCTCACGGCCCCGATCACCCCTCACGGCCCCGATCACCCCTCACGGCCCCGATCACCCCTCACGGCCCCGATCACCCCTCACGGCCCCGCGCCCCAGCCCTCCCCCGTACCGCCTCGCTCCGCCGTTTCCCCAACAACAATCCCACGAGGTAACCACGCCGCTGCGCGCTGGTTACGAGCCCGGCTCGCCGGCGCCAGGCAGGGGCAGAGCGACGGGATGGAAGAGAGGGAAAACCCGCCGGGGCCACCCCCGCGGGAGCGCCGGAAGCAGCGGAGCCGCCGCGGCCGCCCTCACCTCTTCCTGCAAAATGGCGCCAGCCGCCGTCCCCCGCCCCCCCCCGGCGCATCCCCGCGCCCGTCGCCAAGCCGAGCGAGCCGATCCGCCGACGCCTCGATGGCAGCTGCGTCGAGGGAGCAGAGGGAGACGTGGGCGGGGCGAAGGTCGTTCGGCGGTCGATTGCTTCGGGCCGGGGAGGCGGCAGCGGCTCGGCCCTGAGGGCAGCGGGCGGGCGGCGGCCGGTGGGGCCGGATCGGCGGTTGCCGCGGGCTGAGCGGGTGTTTCTCCCCGTCTTGGCGCGGCGAAGCCTCCTCAGAGCCGCGGTGTCAGTACCGGCTCGCCTGCCACCGGCGGTGCAGTACCCATTGAGTGCGCCAGGAGTCAGGCACGTCATGTAAATCGGGCTGCCGTCACACACAGACACACACATTCCTCACCCCCCCCCCCCCATTCCTCTGGGGCTTTCTGAGGGTGGGAAATAACAATGAAGTCGAAAAGTGAATAAAAGGGTGTTGTTACTGAAAAAAAAATGCAGGGGGAGCTTCTCAGCCACCGAACGGGGATTTCCTGGAAAGTCCGTGAGTGTAAAATAGCCACTTCTGCCGACAAAACTGGCCCTTCGGGGGCGATGGGTAGTTTCCTCAACGAATAAAAACGTACTTGGGGGTAACGCTGATTTTCTTACCAATGGGTCCCCCATAAGCACGACGATTTGAAGGCGGCTCTATAGGGGAAATAAAAAGCAAACGTCCCACATAACACGGCGCCGCTTTGTCTTATCAGGACAAGCCACTGGGGCGGGTTTACAGCCACCCCCACACCGCTGTTTTACAGAAATAACTGTTTTACAAAATAAAACCCTTCAGTGAACCAAAAGCGCCTCTTTTTTTTTTTTTTTTTTTTTTTTCTGCTTCCTTGTGGAAGGGCTTTGTTTTTCCACCTTTTCTCCTTGGGCCTACTTATTGGGATCTGGGGGGGAGGTTTGCTTACAAAGCCAGCTTTTATTTAAAATAATCATTTCCATTATGAGCCAGACTGAGGTAATTCCATGCGCAGAGCTCATAAATACCTATTAATTTCTGTACTTGCTGCTACATAAAGCTAATTAACTGCAGAAGTTATTAACATAAACACGCATGCACGCGTTGAGAACAAGCCGGGTGCAGGAGGACTCTCCAGTGCTCCATGCCAAAGAGAAAGGGGGTCATGGTTTTACCCCACTCCATTCTCACCATCTGCAGCTGAAGGTGCTCCAAGCTGCATCTGTGGGCAAGCCTTCGTTGCTCCAAGAAAGACAAAGTCAGCGAGGCTCAGCTAGAGCACTGATTCCAGAGCCATGTCCCTGCGCGTGTGTAGAGTTTCTGCACGTGCTCCCTCTTCATTTGCAGAATTGCACTGTTTTTCCAGAAGATAACATGGGTTCAATTGCCATCCTCTGTTTTTTTTAATGTCACCTGGAACATGACATCTTTGTCCCTCTCTGACCCAAAGCGTATTTATAGGAAGGATCGTCTTAACTTCTTTTTCATCTCTCTATTTGCCTTTTTCCTCATCCACTTCAAATGCTTCAGCCATCATGCTGTATCTACCAAATCCATGACATCTCATATGCTACGTTTTTCTAGCTTTTCTAACTAATTTTTTAATTTATCAGTTCTGTGTCCAGAATAGCCTTCCACAGGCACTGTGCTGAACAGCCTCATCATCTTTGTCTTCAGATTCAGCCTTTTTTGTTTGCCTTACACAGGCAATCACCCTCTGTATCTTGCCTTCTCATAAATCTTGGCAGCAATGGAAAGGGGAAAGGAAAAAGCTCTGTAGCTAGCTTAAGACTCAGCATTGTTTTCAGGTAGCTTTTTTGTAATTTTTTCAATATTGTGTTTTAATTTAGATCGTGAGTTCTTTGAGGCAAAAACCTCCCTACTTGCATATGTGGAAAGTGCTGTGCATACTAATGCAACTGTTTAAATGCTGAATTAAAAATATCAGGGGAGAGGTGTCCAAACCCAAATCCTCTTTAAAGCTAATATAAAAGAGTTGTATTGCTGTTTGCTTCTGCAGTAGAGGGAAAGTGAACACAAGCCTCATTGGAATACTAGGATTAAGACTCTTCTTTCTTATTTTTTGCCATTTCTTTGCTGTCTGTTCAAAGCAACGATGCTGGTTAAGGAAAGGGAACTTTAATCTCTTGCCTTCAAAATAAAAGATTGGGCATTCAGGTACCTCAGTAAACGTGCACATGGCCTTTAATTTACTTTAGTTGTAAACCACATGTTTTTGGAAGACTATTTTTTTTTTGTTTTGCTGATGGATTATTAGCATAAACCGGTTCTGAAGGTTTCAGTACATAATAACTAAAAATCAGAGCAAGAAATTGTTTCTGTTGTTCATACTAATAGTATTCTGCCCTACAATGTTCTCATTGCATTTAATAGAATTTCTGCTTTAGTAGGATCAAGAGAAAATTCTTACATCCATTTCTAAACAGTGATATATTAGATCGCTATAGGGTTGCAATTTTGATTTTTGTATTTTGTCATGAGGACATTTGCTCACTATTGCATGCTACTCCTCTATTTTATTAATTCAATGTTAGCACACTTAATTCTCATTTGCTTTTAAATTAAATATTCATGTCAAATCTCTGAACTTCAGAAAAAAAAGCTGGAGAAATTCAACTTTAACTCTTTACAGAATGTAATTTATTTCCTTTAATGGGAAAGCACTCTGGATTACATTCAGTCTGTATTGACTTGTCCTTAGGCAATCCCAATTTATCTTCTCTCCAGGGTTAGCACTTCAAGATACTCAAATCAATCAATGAGTTATCATCCCCTGAAGTTTGTGGCCTGAATTCATAAGGATTAATTTCAATAAAGTTTCTACCTCTATTCAAAGGAGACCGCAAAATCAAACAATCCAATTATAGATTTATCAAATATTAATCATGAAAATCTTCCAGATCTTTCTGATGCCAGCATTCTTCTCCCCTGGTGTCAGAAAAGTAATTAGCAGCTGGCTTTGATTAAATTCTTCCTCAGAGATTACTTTTCTCTGTTTGGGGGAGAGGAAGGAGTGCGTACAAGATGAAGGAATGCATACAAGGTACAAGAAACCTAATTCCTCATTTTAAAGTCTTTTCAGAAAAATACACATAGGTCAGTTAACTGGACACTTCTTTCCACAAAGATGGAAGAAACTCAGTCTCTGTCCAGGAACCTGCAGCGATTTTAACAGTGAAACCTGAAGTGCATGACCAGCTCTTCCTGCTGTGTTACTGAGATGCTCTTTTTCCTTATCACTTTTTTTTTTTTGGTGACAGTGCCTTCCTCTCGGCAGTTTGAACATCGTGCAGCACAGAGAAGAGTCTCAGCAGCTGCAACAACTTCAGAGCAAGAGGGAGGTGAAAGGGGACTTTCCCAGTCACCACTACCCTCTGCCTGAAAACCAAACTCCAAGCCCTAGCTGCGGTTCTCCTTCACCATCCCCAGAGTGGTTGGATTCCTTGGTTTGCAAGCGGAGGAGTCAGAGGTGCCTCTGAGAATCTATTTTGGTGCGCAAGCTAAGCAAAGGGTGAATTTTCAGCCCTTCCCCGCTCTGCTCTTCCAGGGCCAAGAGAAGCTGTGGAAACTACATCCTTAGAGGCCTTCAGAACTCAATGGGATGAGGTCCTGGGGTTGGACTGGAGACCTCCAGAGATCCAGCTTGGAAACGTGGCTTTTCCTGTGATCAGGTGCTTCTGTGTTCATAAAAATCAGGGAGCCTTTCTCACACAAACATCAAATGCTCCCGGACAGTTCGGTGTTTGTCAGCCAGCACCTGTGCTGGTACAGATAGACGTGGCATCTTCTGTATCTGCTCAACTCTGTGGCACCGCTGTTGTAATCTGTTTATTTGAGTTATGACCGATGGACCTGGATTCCTGTCCTGTTCAGTACGGGGGAAGTTTGTCTTGCTTTCTGCAGAGGACCATGTACTGTTCCTGAAGCATGTACGCTGCTATATAAAGCCCAGCCTTGAGGGGGTTCTCCTGTCCTCTTCACTTGTTGGAGGAACAAGACATTAATCAAAACCTCTTTGTCTGCATCTTTATTCATTAGCCAAAAGGTAAAAATTTGTTAAGCCTGTCTAAATAGAGACTTTTGTAATTCCTCCATAAACGTCAGAGTTGCCGCTTTTGTCTATTTTCCCAAAGCCAGGGTTTCATCCTCCCTGTGGCTCTTTGCTCTTTATATGGCCCAGTGCACCCTGAGGTTAATCAGGTGTGCTTCATCTGGAGGCAATGGAATTGTACCTGATTATGAGAGCGGTGTTTTTTTGTTTGTAGGTGCTTATCTGAATACCGCAGAAGCTTGTTAAGTGGTCATAAAAATAATGAGATATTCTTTATTCTTATTGTACTTATATAAGAAACTTTAAAATGCATTTTAAAGTATCTCCATTTCTGTGCAATGATGGATAGTGCTGGTTCTTGCAATTTACCTAATGGCACCCATTAAACTTCATTAGGACTTTGTTAAACCGAAGTTAAAATCGTTGACATTGATTTTTGATCTCTCCAACCTGCTCACAGCAAATCAGTAACCGAGCATACCGAAAGCCAGCTGACTCTCATAACATGCCGGTCACACTCCCTGTGGTTCAAAAGTGCTTCATGAGCGATGGCAAAGGCGGGGAGGAGGGTTTCAGCCTGTGGTCCCTCTGACATTTAGGAGCGCCGTGGCTCTGACCTGCAGAGCTTAGCCCTGGGCTCGTGCTCTTTGAGTTGTCAGTCTTCAGCCATCACATTGCCTGCCCGTGTCACTGCCCTGGTCGGGGAACTTCTGGTCTCTAAGCTCTAACTCAGCCTCTTCGTTTATTCATTTTATTCCCTGTATTTATTTTTTCTTGCATATACAACCGTGGCTCCCCCTTCACTTGACCTGCTAAACCTTGTGTTTGAAATGAGGAATGTCTGTTCCTAAGTGCCAGTGAAATGATGATGAAGTAGAAGGGAGGAAAGGTTTTAACAT